TGCTAAAAGGAGTTTCTTTGGCAAAAGGCCTGGGGAGGGGGAGAGAAAGAAGCCGACAAAATTTGTGTTGAATTGCTTCATATTATCACATACATCTATTATCTCATATTATATACTTTTGGACTCCTTGGTGCTGGAATGAAGGAATTCAGAGCAATTTAGAGCATTGGCCTGTAAATGAGTTTTAAAGTGGTATAGTCCACGCTACGGGCTGAATTAAATTGTTGTTGTTTAATTGTTAAGTCATGTCTGACTCTTCGTGCCCCCATGGGCTATAGCATGCCAGGCCCCCTGTCCTCCACTGTCTCCTGGAGTGGTTTGGTGGCCTGGCAGGGAAGGGGGAGAGGGGAACTGGGCCGTTTGAGTGGTGGGCCGGCATCCACATGTGCAGCTTAAATTGTGTGAGCTGTGGGGTGGCATGTACATGCATGTGCACATATATCGGCCCACCACTTGCACAAATCAAGCTGCGCACACGCATGTGTGTACTAGCCCACCACTTGCGTGGCCCAGTTGGGAATGGGCCACGGCCCGGTAGTGGGCCGTGGCCTGGGCGGTTGGGGGATCCCTGATCTAACCATTTCATCCTCTGCTGTCCCTTTCTCCTTTTGCCTTCAATCTTTTCCCAACATCAGGTTTTTTTTCTAATAAATCCTCTCTTCTCATTTGTTGGCCAAAGTATTTGAGTTTCAGTATCTGTTCTTCCAAAGAACAGCCAGGGTTGATTTTCTTTAGGATTGGCTGATTTGAGCTCCTTGCAGTCATAGAATTAAATTACGACTCTTTAAATATATGGCTTGAATTCATACTACTAGTTCCAGTTAGTTTCCACCGATTCCTGTGAGACCTAAATGATGCAACCGACTTGGCTGGATATAACTCACTGATTTCAAGTATCAAGAAAAGGGGCCCCTTTTCAAAGCAATGATATAAGTTTGTGTTTCCATGTGCCCAAATGATTGTATTTCTTGAGTAACCCAGTGCACTCCTATATATAAGCCTGCTCTCAAGTCACTGATCCATGTAATGTAGAATTAGCTTACTCGCTGGTAACACCCTTCAGAGTCTCAACTAGATATCTTTCTCATTAACTTTTCTATGCCAGTTTGATCTGTTTGCTATAGAAGTTAAGTTCTATTGACTTACATCAAAATAAGCACATTATATTGCCGGGAACCTGAACACTAAAACCACTGGTTATGCTGCTGAAAATGCCTTTTGGACTATTCTAAAGTACTATTTGCTTAGACGACTCCTGCCAATTGGTGTCTTCCAGACGCCCTGTCCCCACTTGGCTCTGATTTTTTAACAAAATAATTTCAAGTATCTTCTAGCACCCTCTTCATTTACAAAAAGACTTTTGGGCCTCTGGTAGAGGTTAAAAAAAATTAGTTGCTGCAGGCTTATCTTTTGTATGCTTGCCTCCCTCCAAAAAGAGGGGGGGGAGGGAGGGAGGGAGATAGAGGCAAGCTGGATGTATTAAGGTGGTTTGCAGCCTATAGAACAGGGGTCTTCAAACTTACATGCCTGGCTGAGGAATTCTGGGAGTTGAAGTCCACAAGTCATAAAAGGGTCAAGTTTGAAGACCCCTGCTATAGAGTCTGAATGAAGGTCAACTTACAAAACTAGTAAATGAAGGGAGAGAGAGAGAGACTGGATTGAAAGCAAGGGGAAGACTGAGACAGTCAGAGCTAGATGGAGTTGATGAGATCTTTATGAAAAAGGTGAGAAGTTTAAAGAATGAAAGGCAATGTAGGAAGCAGAATATGGACATAGAAAAAGAACAGATTCTTTGTAAGGGGAGAAATAGTGAATGGGGGAAATTTTGCAATAGTCCTTTTATTTCCTGCCTTTATTCTTTTTAATGTTTTTGCCTACTATTACTTGCTTTTTTCCTGTGCTTTGTATAATGTTGCTTAAAGAATTGCTAAGCTACATGGTGGTAGCCAGTGTAGGAGAGATAATGGTAGCCAACAGATGAGCCCAATAAATATGGGTACTTTTCCACTTTTCCCCAAAGAAACTCAGTTTGCCATGAAATAATGGGAAGAGACAAAAGTAAATGGCACCCACTCATGGAGTGGACGTTTTACTTTTGATGTATGACTTAACATATTCTTATATGTAAGGAAACAAATGAAAATGTCATGGACATAAATACTGGTACCCCTAACTTAATATTTTATAGCATACCTATTTGGGGCAATAACTACAGTCAGGCATTTTCTCTTTGTATGTTTGCATGTAATCAGGACTGTCAGCTTTGGCCCAGTGCTGAACTTTCAAAGCCATTATTATCTCTCTCATACAAACCAGAGAATGTGGTCTGTACAATTTTGCTCCAGGGATTCATTTAATCTTCCAGCGACCCAAACATAAACATTTACTAGAATAGAGAGTGAAATCAAAAGAGTGCATTTTACCAAAGGTCGCTATTTAAGGCAGATACAAAATTATGTCATTTCACTTTGAGAGTAGGGGTATTGGGGCCATCATTCTGCCACAATATTTTTCCTTGTATTATCTAAGTGTTGGTCCGTTTTCATAGCGAGCTTGGGCAAAAAAACACAATCTTAAATCATTTTTACAATGAAGGTTGCAATGGCCTTCCTGTCTCAAGGTTTTTTAAAAAATGCTGTAAATTTCGTTTATGTAGCACATCAAGACAGAAAAGGGGGAGAATTAAGGTTTCTGAAACACCACCGAAGTCTGATGCTTTCCAATAATGTTAGTTTCTATGCTGAGAGCTGCCATATGTTGCAGGGGCATCCAGAAAGGAGTTGAAATCTGCAAAATGGTGGTCAGAGGGTTACCATCCAAGCCCTGCCAATTAGTTTTGACAGACATATATATGGTCATTTTAATGCATGTAATGGTTTTATGCATCTGGAAGAAAGCTATTTTGCATAAATATTTCATTTCTTTTTATTATCTTCATCACATAGTATAGCAAAAGCATCCACAATAAATTATTAAAATGAAATAAATAAAATGTTAAGAGTAAAAATTAAAGTTGAATTAAAAAAAATCAAGTTTCTAGGTTCTATTATCTCCAAGTACTTGAAATGGATACCTAACATTAGAACCATCATTCAAAGGGCACAGCAAAGAATGTTCTTCCTGTGTCAACTCAGAAAGCTTAGATTGCCCAAGGAACTGCTGATACAATTCTAAAGAAGTTGTGGTGGCACAGTGGTTAGAATGCAGTATTGCAGGCTAATTCAGCTCACTTCCAGGAGTTCGATCCTGACCGCTCTAGGTTGATTCAACCGTCCATCTTTCCGAAGTCGGTAAAATAAGGACCCAGATTGTTAGGGGTAATATGCTGATTCTGTAAACTGCTTAGAATAAGGAATTATTGAGTCTGTCATTTGATAGTTAGGACTGCAACCAGCCTGTCTTCCATTGAGGATCTGTATACTGTACGAACCAGAAAGAGGGCTGAGAAAATATCTACAGACACAAGCACAGTTTACAGAAGCAAAATGGCGGTAATTAGGCTAACAACAAGAATACCCTTTTGTTCAATCCTTTTATTCTTATAAAAGAAAGGACTAAGAATATAAGGAATAGGACTGAGGCAATGTTTTCAGGATTGAGTAGTCATTACAGTTAGTCCTTGATATTTGACCGAGACGGAGCTTGCCCATTACGGTTATATATCACAATGGTCATAAAATGGGTGAAATGACTGACCCAATTTTATGACCTTTGTGGTGGTTGTTAAGCGAACGTTGCAGTCATAAAGCAAACTAATGGTTCTGTATGAACGCAGTTTTTCTAAAAACCAAAAAGTATGTGACAGAAGTAGTTCCCTCAAGATACCAAAAGAAAAGCCAGACTTTTATTGTCTATACCAGAGGTCCCCAACCTTTTGGATACCAGGGACCGGTTACGTGGTGAGAGATTTTTCGGTGGACTGGAGGGGCCATAGTTTTATGTGCTGCCTGCATCCCGCAAATGGGGCTTTGTTTGTGCGGCTCGGTTGCTGGCATGTCGTGGCCCGGTACCGGTCCACGGACTGAGGGTTGGGGACCCTTGGTCTATACCACTAACTTCCTAAAAGTCTTTGGTGGCTGAGTAAACAATAATGCGGCCTCCCAGCTACAGGTCATAGAAACTGTAGTTCTTTTGATATTAGAAAACAAGAAGTATTTATAGGAGAACTTCAGCCCTGGAATGTGTATGAGAGGACAGGCCATTAAATAGCTGCAGGACACTACATTTCCCTTGTGACAAGGACACTGTTTCTATACATGTCCTTTCTATTCTTTCAAGGAATGCTGCCATGCATTTCTTCAAATTTTATGTAAAGGGTGCATGCAGGTAGTCCTTGATTTACAACCATTCATTTAGTAATTATTCAAAATTCTAATAGCACTGAAAAAGGTGACTTAATAAGCAGTCTTTGCACCTCTGATTGTCACAGTATCCCCACGATCACGTGATTAAAATTTGGGTGCGTGGCAACCGATATGTATTTATGATGATTGCAGGATCCTGGGATCACGGCGCCATTTGCAACCTTCCATGCTGGTTTCTGGAGAAGGAAATTCAAAGGGGGACATGGATTCACTTAATGCCCAGTGCCCAACTCACTTAACAACAATGGCAGAAAAGATTGTACAACTCACTTAACAACTGTCCTACTTAGCAATTGTTGTAAGTGCAAGAATTGGTTTTAAATCAATTTTTTTGGGTGGTATTGTAACAGTCACTAAACAAATTGTTGTAAATTGAGGACTACATGTAGGGATAAAGACTGGGCCTGGATGTAAATATCCAGGTTTAAGTCTACTGAACTTAAACTTCCTGGAGAACGTTGGTCTGGATTGCTCTCTTTCTCTCTTTCAGTGCAGCCTACTTCGCAGGGCTGTTGTGAAGGTAAAAGGACAAAAAAGATTCCCATGTGAGAGGACTTCAGTTCCTTGAGGAAATCTTAAAAAATCAAATAAGGAGTGAATAAAACGTGTAACTTTTTAAAAAAATTTTCTCCCCAGGGCCCCCCTCGATCTGTTATACTTCCAGTCCTCCTGTGCAGGTACTGGAAGGCACTGGCTACCTCCATACAGATCCTCATCTCTTTGGCAATAGGCAAGATGGTTCCCCATTAATGGTAGAAGAGATCAATAATATTGAAGGTAAGCTTTTTGCTCTTCATCTCTAGTTTGGTCTTCTGCCACCTGCGTCTTTTTTGAAACATGGATTTCAGTTTTCATCATGTTATCATTGGCCATGCAAGCTGGGAAGATGGAAGTTTTATCGTGTTGCATCAGGAAGGAGATTTGAGCTGCTTCATAGAATCATGAAAGGGCGGGAAGGGACCTTGGAGGTCTTCTAGCCCATCCTTATTCCATCTTGGACAAATGGTTGTCCAGTCTTTTCTTGCACCTCCAGCAATGGAGCACCCACAACTCTGGGCGCAAGTTCTTCCACTAGTTAACTGTTCTCCCTGTCAGGAAATTTCCAGGTTGGATCTGACTAGCTTCCTCCCATTGTTTCTTGTCCTGTCCTCGGATGCTATGGAGAATAAATTGATCCCCTCTTTTCTTTGACAACCCCTATATATTGGAAGACTGCTGTCATGTCAGGGAAGAGTTTTTATAAACAGGGAAAGCAGCAGAGTGAATGATAGAAAAAAGGTGCTTTTTCATAATTTCACTTTAATTATTTATATATATTTTTAACCTTCTATCCTTTACAGAATGTGCTCAGGAGGGTTTAAGATTAGGAACAACCCAAAAAGTCGATAAAATCTGATAGATATTATAAAGAACAAGAATCAGATACCTCCTCATTGACAGCAGTGTCAGTGTGAAACAATTTTAATGCTGCATAAAAATTACTCAAGAATAAATCCTGTTAAAAAAAGATAAGTGTAGGACATAGAGTACCCATATGAATTTTAGTCACCCAAACCCTGAGAATTAATCGCCTGTTCATGTGTGAAATATCATCCTATGGTTAAAATTGTGTCCTTGTAGTAGAACATAGAATGAAGAAGATGAAATGTTTTAAAAAATGGGTAGACAGACACCTTTCAAATATTACTTCAATGGCCTCACTTCTTAACTCCTCACTGGACCTTATTTATGGAGATACTCAACCAACCAGATCATGATTGTCCCAAAGATGCTTTTCTCCAAAAGGCCACTGGACTTACTTGGTTTTTTTTTTTTTCATTGAAAACATTTTGCTTCTCATCCAAGAAGCTTCATCGGTTCTACTGCTCTACAGAACTGAAGAAGCTTCTTGGATGAGAAGTGAAAGGTTTTCAAAAGGAAAAAAACCAAGAAAGTCCAGTGGCCTTTTGGAAAAAAGCAATCTTCACTGGACCAACTTTTAGATAATATTTATCTATTTATTTATAAAATTTACAGACCACCCATCTTACCTCAAGATAATATTCACAATGGTGTAATTTTTTTTGTAGTCTTTAAAAGTTGCATGAAAAAGGCCTCAGCTCTTACCTTTTTCCGTCTTTTTGTTTCTTTCTGCTTGGCGTCTGGGCCACAGCTGAAGACCCTTTGTGCAACTTCTACCCCCCAAGCTTTCTCCAGGCTTCAGAGGTGGAAATGAGAGGTTCGGAGGATGTTGTCCCTGGTACTGTTTTACAGCGGTTGATCCAGGAGTGGCGTTATGGCAATCCCAATGAGAATATGAACCTGCTGACTCTCCAGCACCAAGCTACGGGGAGCGCAGGACCCTCCAACTCCACTGCCAGCAGCACCCTGTCTTCTTCTGCAGAAAACCTTGTGCCGGAAGACTCACAAATGGTCCAGCAGTCAGCACGGCAGGAACCACAAGGCCAGGAACATCAGGGGGATAATACAGCGATGGAGAAGCAGACCAGAGGCTCACAGCCTCAGCAGAACAATGAAGAATTACCTTCTTATGAAGAAGCCAAAGCTCAGTCTCAGTTTTTTAGAAGTCAGCAGCCTAGTGTTGTTGGGCCCAGTTTCTACATGGCCAGCGGCACTGGTCCAAAATCTAAAACAGAAGGTAGGCCGACTTTGGCCCGTGCCAACAGTGGACAGGCCCACAAAGATGAAGCCCTGAAGGAACTGAAACAAGGCCACGTGCGCTCCTTGAGCGAGAGGATCATGCAGCTCTCCTTGGAAAGGAATGGGGCCAAACAGCATCTTCCCTGCTCGGGGAGAAGCAAAGGGTTCAAATCCAGTGGGCCCTCCCCTTCCCCAGCGTCCAATAAAGGCATGGATCTGAGAGGACCCCCTCCAGATTATCCATTCAAGAGCAAGCAGGGGGGCTCTCCAGGAAACAAAAGTCAAGAGCCTGGTGTGTTTTTTAATGAGCAACATTCTGGAATGGTTCAAGAAGTGACAAAGCCATCCTATTCAGCATCACAGCCAGCGAGGAGCGAGGTGGCTATTGTCCGATATCCGGGTCCCCCAGAATATGGTGTCACCAGGTAAGTTTTGAATATTTTTTTTTGGGGGGGGGACTCCTACTGTAAAAAGATCAGATCCTTGCACAATCTTTCTCTTTTCTTTATTACATAAAGAATAACACATTAACTATTATGAATAATTCTTCTTTCAATCATTCCAGTAATTACAAGCTCTTTGCGACGGACCTCTTTAAGTGTAAGTAATCCAACTGAAATGTGTTCCTCTTTCTGTAGTCGTCAGTGTGCATCATCTTTTCCATCACTGCCAACACCCCAGGAGCACAGCCCAGTGTCCTCCCAGACCTCCTTGCTTAGCGGCCCACTGCACTCTGCGTCTCTGCCGCCTCTCTCAATGGCCACAGCATCCCAGTCTCTGCCCGCAACTCCGCCTAGCCAGCAGCCCCTCACACCAGATGCCTTCACGATAGTACAGCGAGCCCAACAAATGGTGGAGATGTTGTCTGAAGATAACGAAGCCCTGCAGAAAGAGCTGGAGGGCTACTACGAGAAAGCAGACAAGCTTCAGAAGGTGGGTGGCAGCATAGAGAGGATCCAGGTCTACCTACCTACCTTACAGTGGCTGTAGCCCATCCAACTCAAAAATATTCTGGGCTAATTATGAGGCTGTGGTGGGTTTTTTTGTGTGAAATATACATTCAGGAGGCACGTATATAACTTGGAATTGAGACCCTCATCTCTGCCTTGTATACTGTAAATGATTTGACTCAGCTCCCATTCCATTCATCTTCTTGGAAACGAATATTGAAAGGTGGAAAAGTATGTTTTTTGGAGCACCATCTAGCACAGTGGTTCTCAACCTTTTTAATGCCGTGACCCCCAAGCGGTCGTAAGTTGAGGACTACTCAACCGGTCGTAAGTCGAGGACTGCTCAACTGGTGCAGCACCGTTTGCAGAATGGGACTTTTGGCGGGCTCAGCAGGCAGAGACAGCCTGGACAATTCCTATTGGCTTTTGAAAGCCAATAGAATTAGACTCTATTCAAGAGAGTCTATTCTATTGGCTTTCAAAAGCCAATAGAATAAAAGGGAGTAGCACAGCTAAGGAAAAGGGGGAAAAAAAGGCAGACTGTGTTGTTTGGCGACCCCCGTGAAAAGGTCGTTCGACCCCAAATGGGGTCCCGACCCACAGGTTGAGAACCACTGATCTAGCATCTCCTTTAGCTTTACTACCTTACCTTCTCAGATGAACTATGGCTCATCATAACATTGCAGAAGACATTTTGTAGATAAACGTGCCCTCTCTTATGGCACCATTTTGTGAGATGTCCATAGCATATGCTCAGAACTTCAAAACGTGCCTGCACTGATCCCCAGAAGATATATCCTGGTTATAGATAGTGGCTAGCTAAGTGATCTGATAGTTCAAAGCAGTGTTTCTCAACTTTTTATAAGATGTCTTGAGTTTTGGCTCCCATTTCTTGGAGTTGAAGTCCAAATATCTTAAAAGTTGCCAAGGCTGAGAAAGAGTGATCCAAAGGATAGTTAGGCTTTTGTGTAAAGTGGAGGCAATTCATGTAGTGTAGTAGTGTCTGGGACATCTCCAACTGAAATCTCTCTTCAGCCAAGATTCTCCAAGGGGCCTTATGTAATATTATTCTTTCCTCCTTGTTGATCTAGTTCAGTGTTAACCAAACTTGACAATTTTAAGGCATGAGGACTTCAACTCCCAGAATTCCACAGCCAGCAACGCTGGCTGTGGAATTCTGGGAGTTGAAGTCCACATGCCTTAAAATTGTCAAGTTTGGGAAACACTGATCTAGTTGTTTACCATAAATACCTGTCTGAAATTCTTCCCAATGCTTTATAAATGAACAATATTATTGCAGTTGCCTGAGTGATGCCAGTGTTCAGAGTCAATTTCTGTGATGTCGTTTTGTAACGCCTCAGTCGCCCTCCTGTCAGACAGCCTGTTTCTAATGCTTGCCAAATTCTCCGCTGACACAAGAGTGTTTATACAGTTGTGGGCTGTCGTAGGCCACAAAAGGGGTTCTCAGAATTTTCTGCTCTGAACCAGCTTTTGGAGGCTTTGCTTTGTTGCCTAGCCTACTGTCGTTTTAAATTTCTGGGAACTGTCCAACTGTACATTTTCACATATGAAACAGTAGAGTTTCCCCTCCAAAAAAGTTCAGTGCATATGTCTATTGACATAAAAACATAGTTAAGCTTTTACCAAGCGGTCCATGTGTAATGGTTGAGACAGCAAAAGTATTCTTGGTTTCAAAGAGGGGCTATAATTAAGTAATTTTATATTTTGCCCTTAAGTGGTCTTATGATGAAAATGGAGGGTCATTTCTTCTTCCAAATGTAGTAAGTTGGTCTTGTTATATTTAGAGTTTTTTTTAATCATTCTGCTGAGTGGGAATCTGAAGAAATTCATCTCCTATTAGAACCGCCAAGCTTCTGTTTACATCGTTGTTGTCCCAGTTCTTTTGATCTTTAACCATGCAAAATAAAGTAAAATAAAGCTAATTGGGATTCCAGGCTACCTGCAGCCATAAACTACAATTCACAACTAGCAAAAGTTGGATTCACACATCATGCTGCAGTAAATTTGTATCCCCACTGACCCATAGCTATCATCTTATTCCTTTTTGGGGGTAAATGATGTTCTGTAAAATATGGTAGAGGAGACCCTGATCTTTGCCATCCATCACAGTTTTGGTCAATCAAAGCTTTTATATTTATTTAATTATTAAATTTATTTCCTGCCCATCTTGCCACAGGACGACTTTGGGCAGCTTACAAAGTTAAAAGCAATAAATAATACAAATATTTATTTGTAATCTATTTTGGCCTTTAGGATACAACCAAAACCCAGTTTTAGTCCAAGCATGCTCATACAGTTCAATGCAAGCTAGGGTCTCTAATCTAGAAGCTACCTTACAAATCAGCATTCTGCTGTCCACATTGCTCCAACTAGGTCCTGCATACTCCAGCTAAGACAAAACTATAGCATGTCAATGGTTTAGTCCAGTGGTGGTGAACCTATGGCACGGGTGCCAGAGGCGGCACTCAGAGCCCTCTCTGTGGGCACGCGCGCTGTTGCCCCAGCACCGCCTTCCCCCCACGGCCCTTTCCTCACCAGCAGCCCCCCCCGGAGGAGAGTTGCCCCCGGTCGTGGCCCGTGCAGAGCAGCGCAGCCAAGGTCATGGCAGTCGGTACAAGAGGTCCGCCCCCGCACCCCGCAGCATCATCTGCTGCGTTGCTGCCATGGTGCTGCAGGGCTGCCTGCAGTAGGTGGTCCTGCGGGGACGTGGGTGAGACAGGAGGTGGGGTGGAGTAGGTGGGGCAAGGGGCAGAGCAGAGTGGGCAGGGCAGTGGCGGACTGGGTTTTGGGCACTTGGTGTCCAAAAGGTTCACCATCACTGGTTTAGTCCATTTTGTGAATCCAGAATCTGTAGCCTGTGTTTGGGGTCATGAACCAGCAATCAAAGGAGGAAGCAACTTCTAGCTACTGAAGATAAGGAAGGGTGACACATGTCATGTGAGCATCTTCAGTAGCTGAGGAGTGGAAGGAGACTCCAAGGCTTCTAGAAGACTTGGTCTCATGTCTGCCTACCAACACCCTGCTTCCGAACTACTAAAAAAAGAGGCCAAAATTAAGGGTGTGATTTTGGGTAAAAGACATAAAACTACAGGTGAGACTAGAGGCAAAATCCTCCCCCCCCCTTCCCAAGATTTTCCTATTCTGTTTGTACTACTAGACAGGGTCTTCCTACATTCCTCCAACCTAAAACAAAATTTGCATGGAACCCGTTGAATGGAAAGCCCGTGTTCTACAAGCTTTCCACGGGTGTGCTCAAACGTTTTTCTGGTGATTAGAAAAGAGATTGCTTTCAGACTTTTTAGGTTCGCGAAAGGATTCCCATTTAGACATGATGGTACAAGAATCCTTTTTGCAAAGTTACAGAAGGGGTAGAGTTGGAGGGGATGTCTAGGTACTGTATAATGATTGACATGCATCCTGCCCAGTTTTTATTGGAATATTAATTTCTCCTTCATCTTAGTTTGAAATGGAAATTCAGAGGATTTCAGAAGCTTATGAGGACCTGGTAAAAATCACCACCAAGAGAGAGTCACTAGACAAGGCTATGCGAAACAAACTTGAAGGTGAAATCAGGAGACTCCATGATTTCAACAGAGACTTGCATGGTATGTCTCCTCCTTCTCCTCCTCCTCCTCCTCCCCCCCTCCTCCATTTTGTGATATATGTATGTATGTATGTATGCATGTATGTATCTTATTTATGTCATTCATTCTCTCTATATGTTCAAATCACCACAGTGAACTTTCATACAGGTCACTTACTTTTCCTTTCATTTCTTACATTTCTTTTCATTTCTTAATTATTATTATTATTAATAATAATAATAGTAGTAGTAGTAGTAGTAGTAGTAGTAGTAGTAGTAGTAGTAAAGTTGGAAGGGACCTTGGAGGTCATCTAGTCCAACCCCCTGCTCGGGCAGGAAACCCTACACAATTTCGGACAAATGGCTGTCCAGTCTCTTCTTAAAAACTTCCAGTGTTTGAGCATTTACTGCTTCTGGAGGCAGGTTGTTCCACTGATTAATTGTTCTCACTGTCAGGAAGTTTCTCCTTAGTTCTTGGTTGGTTCTCTCCTTGATTAGTTTCCACCCGTTGCTTCTTGTCCTGCCTTCAGGTGCTTTGGAAAATAACTTCACTCCCTCTTCTTTGTGGCAGCCCCTGAGATATTGGAACACTGCTATCATGTCCCCCCTCGTCCTTCTCTTCGTTAAACTAGACATACCCAATTCCAGCAACCGTTCCTTATATGTTTTAGCCTCCAGTCCCCTAATCATCTTTGTTGCTCTTCTCTGTACTCTTTCTAGAGTCTCAACATCTTTTTTACATCGTGGTGACCAAAACTGGATGCAGTATTCCAAGTGTGGCCTTACCAAGGCATTGTAGAGTGGTATTAATACTTCACGTGATCTTGATTCTATCCCTCTGTTAATGCAGCCCAGCACTGTGAAAAATTGATGTTCTTTACACTTTTTACTCCTCTTACATTCCAATTTCCAATCCCTCCTTCCCATGATTGTCACTAGGTTGACCTACAGTCTTAACCTCTGCCATGATCATAACTTTAGTAAATCCAGGCTTTCATTGGGTGGTTTTTAGTAAAACACAGAGAAGGTGTAGAATAGGTTACCACATTTAGTCATAATCAGATTACATATGGCATGCCCCGCTAATGGTAAGGATGATACTGGGCAGTTTTGGTACATTTTGACTAGAATGCCACAAGCTCAACTAAATTTTATTAATTTATTTAAAGCATGCTTGAACTATTCTGTGCAAACCATGATCTAAAATCTATCTCACAAACCAGCATCATATCAACAGAGATATAAGAGATATCAATTGACCATTCTATTTCAGTTTTGATCCAAAATCAGAATGGGGTAATTTGGGGTGGAGAATGGGGATGATGAGCACAAGCTTCTTGTTACCCACAGAGGTGTACATCCAGTGACCTGACTTGTGTATGCATGGACATTTTTGTTTTGCAATATTTTGAGATGGTCAGGAGTTTAAAAAATGGAAATGATTCTGCTTTGTCCTGTAAAAGTGGTTTTAAAAAGTCTATTTTATTTCAGGCATTTCTGCTTATTGTTATGACAAAGATTAAGCATTTTGGCATTGACCGTGTAATTCTGGTGTGCTGTGGTGACCACACCTTGTGATTTTGGGTATTGATGGGTCCGTGGTTGCTTTGGCCAGTTCTAAGCTATCATATTCTATTCTATATTGGCAGGCTAGAGGCCAGACAAATTATTCTCTGTCGTGACTTTTAGAAAATTAATATAGATAAGATTGTCTGGATCAGGTTGCAGACGTCTGCTTAAGGGTTCCATCTATTATTGCTTGACCCAAACATGAACCCAGATTGCTTCTGCTTTTCATTAATTATATACAGGACTTATTGTCTGCAAAGAAATACTTGTGGCTAACGCTAATTATAGTTTAGGGCAGGGATCTCCACACTTGGCAACTTTAAGACTTATGGAAGACTTGCTGGCTGAGGAATTCTGGGAGTTGAAGTCCACAAGTCTTAAAGTTGCCAAGTGTGGAGACCCCTGCCCTAAACTATAATTAGCGTTAGCCACAAGTTTTTCCCTAGAGACAGTAAGTTCTGTATAAGTCCTGTGAACTTCAACTTTCAGAATTCCTCAGCCAGCATGGCTGGCTGAGGAATTTTGGAAGTTGAAGTCCACAAGTCTTAAAATTGCCAAGTTTGGAGAGCCCTGGTTTAGGGGAAGCCAGAACTGTAAAACAGAGATTGAAGTTCTCTAGGTATGAAAATCAGAGTATATGAGGGGGCATTTATATTGATGCCAATCCCCTACTCAGGGCTGGAATCTTATATTATAACATCCACAAACAACTACAGGTAGTGCTTGACTTACGACCACAATTGAGCTCAAAATTTCTGTTGTTGTGACATTTATTAAGTAAGTTTCACCTATTTTACGACCTTTCTTGCCACAGTTGTTAAGTGAATCACTGCAGTTGTTAAGTTAGAAACACAGTTGTTAAGTGAATCTGGCTTCCCCATTGACTTTGCTTGTCAAAAGGTTGCAAAAGGTGATCACGTGACCTTGGGACACAGCAAGGATCATACGTATGAACCAGTTGCCAAGCAACTGGATTTGGATCCTATATCATGGGGGTGCTACAAAGGTTGTAACTGTGAAAAACGGTCCTAAGTGACTTTTTTCGGTGCCATTGTAACTTGGAACGGTCACTAAATGAACTGTTGTAAGTTCTGTACATATCTGGCCTTTAATTGAAGACAGCCAGGGAAGGGAGCCCACCATCTCTCTGGATGATTCCACAGACAATCTGCTCTTACTCTTATGAAGTTTCCCCTGGCATGTATTCAGAATCTTCTTGTAACTGGTCCTGCAGTCTGGAATGAGGGAAAAAAAGTTTGCTGAAAGAGTTGGGCTGGTTTTTAAAAAGGTGTTGCCTGACTGGATTTGGAATCTGTCTCTCCCTCTCCCTCTCTCCCTCCCTCCCTCCCTCCCTCTCTCTCCCTGTCTCTCTCTCCCTCTCTCTCTCCCCCTCTCCCTCTCTCTCTCCCTCTCTCTCCCTCTCTCCCTCTCCCACTCTCTCTCCCTGTATCTCTCTCTCCCTCTCCCTCTCTCCCTCTCTCTCTCTCTTCATTAGCTACAGCATAAACTATTGACTCGACGTGGCTACTTTTATTTTTTTCCACAACTATTGCAAAAAGAGGAGATCTGTATAGATTCCTTTGTTCGCCTTCCTCTTTTTTGTGCTCCCCCAAAATTTGTCTTAGTCACAGAGTGACAAGTCAGGGAGGAGATGTGACAGAAGAAATTCCTCCACCATAAGATCTTTTCCTGGAGCCCAGTGCCATCCATAAGCAGAAATAGTTTTTTGGCTTAAAGACACGAAGTTAAGACCTGTACTAGCCTTCCCCCAAACACTCCTTGATGTGTTCTAGGTTGGAGAAAGTTGAGCTAGGCTGAAGTCTCCATAAGAAAATCTCTCCCTTCTTCCTTATTCTCTAATATAATCTTCCCTTTCTTGCTGCTATTTAAATTAGTTTCTCTCTGAGTCTCTCTTTTTAAAGTTTTTATGTCACACTTGTTAGCCTGCCTCTCACCGTTCAAGCATTCAGTGCAACACACATGATATATTTTAATCTTAAAAATCTTTCTCCTTCCTGTGTAGACCGACTGGAGACTGCAAATAGGCAACTGGCCAGCCGAGAGTTTGAGGGACATGAAAATAAGGCGACAGAGGATCTTTATGCCTCTCAGAGTGAGTGCCATGTTAATATATACTGGACCTATGTTAGGAAATGTAAATGTATGTGATTTCACTTTATTTCCTAGCATCTGAATTTCTTTTTCTTCTGTTCTCTGTCTTGTTTTTCTGGAGAGATTGTTGTAGCAGTTTATTGTAGGGAATAAGGATTTTTTTATGGAAGTGAAAAGATCTGAGAGGAAAAAGGAAACCCATTCCCTGATTTGCAAATTCAATTTTTTCCCACCTTCTTGGTTCCTTCAAAATTCATGCAGAACTCAAAGTGGTAAAGCAATCAAATGTGGTTCCTTTGTTAAGATGTGCAACAGATTTTGGCATTCTTCATCCCCAACCTGTAGATGTACTCTGCATCACCTTTGGAGTATATTGTTGAAATGAAGCTGAAAAGTGAGTATTGCCCACAGAGGGATGGCCTCCATGTTGACTTTTTTGATCTTCCTGGTCTCTGCCCAGCCCAAAGGAGGTACTTAGAACCTCAGTGAAGAATCTAGGTCTGCAAATCTGGAAGGCTTGGAAGCCACTCCCAGTGTTGCCATTACGTTGGACTTTTTTAAACGCAAAAGAAAGACATTCTTATCATATACCTGAGGGAAAATGGCATTAACTGCATTTAATTAATTTTAATAAGAGTTGTCTTGGCTCTGTCTGCATTATCCCTAGCTCACAAGTGCATCTCATTACCCCAAATATGTCTCCTTTTATTGTAATGTTAAGTAGTCTTTTAATGTCCATTTATAGGTAAAGAACAACATTATACTGGGTGGGAAGCTGTTGAGTATGAACTTTTGGCTCAGATTTGTGGAGATGTAAAAAGAGAAATAAAAACCAACTAATCAGTAATAAGGGACGGGCAAGAAAAACTTTAAAATCATCATTGTTTTTCCTAAGAGGCAAAATAGGCTGGTCACTGTCCTTTTCTCTCCTGTAAGGTTCCAAAAATAGATGCTATGTGATGCTGTAGGAAGAATCATCGATGATGAATGTAATCATTCTGGCCCTACTTTTTCAACCTAACAAAATACCGAAAAGATGACAATTTTTGGTCTCTGTTTCGGAACATTAGGGCCACTGATCACTCAGGTTGCATTTAGACATCATGTTGGTTCTCCATTTTTACTCTTAGGCTTATCATACTTAGTTCAGAAGCCGCTGAGACAGTAGCCTCCCATACATTTTATTGTTGTGAATTTACAACTTGATGTTCTACAGAGAGGTGTTATTTTGTCCATCCAGAATCAGAATCAGTGTGGAGCAGGCCAAATGACACAATGGCTTTCCATGTGTTCTTCACCCAGGATGCATGTTGCATTATAACAGTGGTTCTCAACCTGTGGGTCGGGACCCCATTTGGGGTCGAACGACCATTTCACGGGGGTTGCCAAACAAGGCTGTCCGCCATTTTTTTCCCCTTTTCTTTGGCCACGCCCCTGGTACCCGGTGATGTATAAGTGGTTGGGGGTCACCACAACATGGGGAACTGTATTATGGGGTCGCGGCATTAGAAAGGTTGAGAACCACTGCATTATAAATTGTAGAGATCTGCTGTAGAATATAATAATAATAGTAATAATGATGATAATGATGATGATGTTGGAAGGGACCTTGGAAGTCATCTAATCCAACCCCCTGTTCAAGCAGGAGAACCTATACCATTTCAGACAAATGGCTGTCCAGTCTCTTCTTAAAAACTTCCAGTGTTGGAGCATTCACCGCTTCTGGAGGCAGGTTGTTCCACTGGTTAATTGTTCTAACTGTCAGGAAATTTCTCCTTAGTTCTAGGTTGCTTCTTTCCAGTGCTTTTTTTCTATATATATAAAAAAAAGGTGCTGGAAGTCACACACGTCATGCAACCCTCCTTGCCTACCCTACAAGGTTCCACCCAAAAAAGGTGCCGGAACTCCGTTCTGGGCGTTCTATGAGAAAAAAAGCCCTGTTTCTCTCCTTGATTAGTTTCCATCCATTGCTTCTTGTCCTGCCTTCAGGTACTTTGGAGAATAGCTTGATCCCTCTTCTTTGTGGCAGCCCCTGAGATATTGGAAGACTGCTATCATGTCATCCCTTGTCCTTCTCTTCATTAAACTAGACATACCCAATTCCAGCAACCATTCATTATATGTTAGCCTCCAGTCCCCTAATCATTTTTGTTGCTCTTCTCTGTATTCTTTCTAGAGTCTCAACATCTTTTTTACATCGTGGTTATATCTTTCATTTAATCCTGGCTGATTTGAAAGAAGTGAACTTAGTTTAAGGGCTAGGAAAAATTGCTAAATGCCAAACTATTTTCCAAGAACTGGATTAATCGATAAGGTTGCAGGATGGCAGCTTTGAAGTCAACCAGCCTAAAATATGGATGCAATCAATTAAAGAGTTCAGTGCCTCTAAGCAGCTGTCAGCTGTAAGGTTTTGTCTGAGCAGGAGAAATGAGCTAAATTTACAATTCTTACATATCGACTACAAATCTAGTATCTGCCAGTAGACCCCAATAACTGCCCATTATGGCTGGTATTTGGGCTAGTTCTTTGGGACTGGGACAGCCTGCCCTAGACTCTTTGGCAGCACCACAGCCTCACCCAAATACAAATATTTATTAATTTCTTAGTTGACAATGTTTATTAAAATATATGTACTTCTATATACACTTTGCTAAAAATATTGCTGGAACTACCACAATTCATAACTAATTTTTGTTGTTGATCTGCAACATAGGAGCAAATGTAGTTCCTTAGAGGACAAATCATACAAAATACCACAGATGTTTGGCATGAATACTCTATGAATACTCAGGTCCATGCTATAAATAGAAGATAAAGTATTTCCAGGAATAGAAAGAGGATTATGCAGATCCTCATCAGATAGACTTTATTTATTTATACTCAGATATTCGTAGCCTTGTGAATACCATCTACAGTATAGTCTTGAGGTAAAAACAGAATTAGGTATCCTGGGTTAACCGGCAAGGAGTTTTGATGCAGCACCACCTGAAGTAAGATGGCACCGTTAGAATATGAGAGTCCGTTTTAGAATTTCTTCCCAAATGATTATCAGGTATATACAACAGTAATAGCAATAGCACTTATAGCAGTTTACACAGTCAGCCTATTGCCCCCAACAATCTGGGTCCTCATTTTACTGACCTTGGAAAGATGGAAGGCTGAGTCAACCTTGAGTTGGTCAGGATCGAACTCCTGACAGTGAACGGAGTCATACTGCAATACTGCATTCTAACCACTGTGCCACCACGACTCCTAAGTTAATTAATTAAGATAATTAAAGTATTGGAATCTTAATCAATTTGTGTAGAGAGAGAGAGTGACTGTATATAAGAGTGGTTTGAACTCAAGCAGAGCAATTATGCCTAAGCACATTTATTTACTGCTTTCTACAGTAAAAAGGTAGGCAAAGAGATCACAATAAGCCTTCAGTTATAATCAACGGTTGGGAAAATTGTAACACAAAATTATAGTGAATTTAAATGGCGCACATTTGAATAAACAGCAAATAAATATCATATTTGAAATTGCAAGAAAATAGGGAAACAAACTTAACAAGGCAAATACAAAATAATAAAGGCGATCTGCACAAGTAGCAATTGTCTCTCACGTATTATGGGTGCAACAGCATAAATACAGTTCAGAGGATTAGTTTGAGGTTGACTCAGAGGGGGCTGGAAGCAAGAAAGAAAGATGGTGGGGGGGACTTGCAATAATTTTCTCAATGCTCCCCTCCCTTAAGTTTGGATACTAACGCTTGGCCTTATGTTTTTCTCTTTCAAACAGAATGTTTAGGATAACTGATAACAGTGAGCTAAATAGAATTAGGGTTAGTTTTGTTCTTTTCTCCTTATGTTTGAGGAGATAAAACATATGCTTTGCAGTAAAATGGATTTAGCATATGTATCATATGGAAATATTTGTGCCAGCTTATTCTTGTTTGGCAAGGACTCACTTAGAAGACTTTGGTGCAATTCTGGGACAATTTAAAAATGCATTGAGTAGTTGGAGTGAGTTTGGATGAAAGTTACCAAACCAGTGATTGGGAGCCAGCTCTTAAGAACAGCTAAAAAGCCGTATTTCTCAGCCTTGGCAATTTGAAGATGTGTGTACTTCAACTCCCAGAATTCCCTAGCCACTTTTGGAATTTCAGGAGCTGAAATACACACATCTTCAAATTGCCAAAGTTGAGAAACACTGAGCTAAAGGAACTGGATATGTTAGAAGATTGAGATGAGATTGATTAGCAATCTTCAGACATCTTACTGGTTGTCATATAAAATTGGAAGTTGGTTTGTTTTGGGTCCTGGGATTGGAACGAATAGGTTGAAACTAGAGAGAAATAGACTTGGATCAGATAACAGGAAGAATTTCCCGATAGTTAAGACCTGTTAAGAAGTGGAATACGCTGCCTCATAAAGTGCCATGTTCCTCTTCTGCGGATATCTTCAGCCAGAGGCTGAATTCCCATCTGTTTGAAATACTGTAAAAGATTCTGCATTAAGCAGGACATTTGATTAAAGCATGGGTAACCATCCTTCCAACCCACGTCTTGATTCTGTGAACTGAAATCTTAACATATTTTGCAGGCCACCAAATTCAGAAAAACTTATGACGTGGTTGGTCTTTTTCCTTTTTGTAATCTCATGTGGTGCTTTCCTTGTCCTTTTTTTGGGGGGGGGAGAATAGAGGGAAAATAATAAAGGGGGGAAATGTGCAGGTATTTGTGCCTCCTTATTGTCAGTTCAGTGAAAATTTACTGTTCCTTAACTCCCCTGAAAATTCTTTATCCAAATGTTCAGGATCCCAAATAAATGTTTCCTGCAGAACAAATAGGCAGAACAAGTTCCTCATGGAATGAGACATCGCTCATGCTGGGGCATCTGAACAATTTGGAGATGCTTGGTGGCAGCTGATGTTCAGTGAATTATTTCCCATCTGATGACTCAGGGTCAAGTTCACATGAATGGGGCAAAGCTAAATAAAGCACAGCAGTGCCTCCCCCCCCCAATTGGTGTTGATATTAGCGAGGCCTTGCTGGAATCAACAGCAGATATGTTGTTTCAAATCTACTTACAAGCTTCCTTTAAAGTAGTTTTCTCATCAGTGTGGAGGACTACTTTGAATCTGCAGACGGGGATATGTGCACTCACACACATCCATTTTGTCTGGTATCACACACAGCTCAAATGGAGGCTCCTCCTTAATTATTTGCTTTTTTTAATGTAAGAATATTGAAATTAGTATCTCTTTTATGTTTTCATGTCATTATTTAAAAATTCATGTTAGGACTTAGTGAGGGCTCAAATGTGGAAAGCGATCAGCCCCTTCTGGATCTCTGCATATATGTACTGTATAGGTGGGTGTATGTGTAGGTGGAGAACCAGTTTGGTGTAGTGGTGAAGGTGCTGGCCCACAATTTGAGTTCTACTCCTCCCTTAGGCATGAAAACTGGTTGAATGACATTGGGCCAATCTCAGCCCAACCCACCTCACAGGATTGTAGTTGTGAGGAAAATAGGAAGATGTGGATATGTTAGATATGTTTGCTGCCCTGATTTATTTGTAAAAATAATAAAGGCATGATATAAATAAATAACGTATCATTGAGTGATAAAAAAGCAGGATAAAAATCTCATCATAAATTATAATACTAGGTGAGTTTGTAAAAGGCTGTTCCCCTAGATCAGGGGTAGGCCACCTTGGCTCTTTTATGACTCGTGGACTTCAACTCCCAGAATTCCTGAGCCAGCATGGCTCAGCTTGGAAACCTCTCCCTTTCCCCTCAGTATGGCTGGCTCAGGAATTCTGGGAGTTGAAGTCCACGAGTCATAAAAGAGCCAAGGTTGCCTACCCCTGCCCTAGATGGCTCTTATAGGGAGCAGATTTAAAACATCTCCAGATGTTCACATATATCTTTGCTCCATATTCACCTCACCTTGTTTATCTACAAAATTTAGTTAGATAGGCACACAATGCTGCAAAATAAATATGCAGGCCCTGAGATATTCTGCAAATGGTAAAGGTGACACAGCCTTCAGCAGATCACAGATGATTTGTCCTGACTGAGGCTGTCAGGTGAATGTTCAAGGAAGGAAGTCATGTTGAATGAGATCTCAGTTTTGGTCCATACCTGGTCCTGTCTCTGATTGCTTCCCCCACCCCTCCCAAATTATTTCTTCTTTGGGCAGCTGTTTTATAGGGTCATTTTTCATCCCTACACGCTGGTAATAGCAGGGATTCTATAAAAGAAAAGGCCCTATAAAAGAGTCCATATAAAAGAGAAGCAACTTAGAACTAACAGTGAGAACAATTAACCAGTGAAACAACTTGCCTTCAGAAGGTGTAGCTGCTCCATCACTGGAGGCTTTTAAAAAGAGACTGGACGACCACTTATCTAGAATGATATAGGTCTCCTGCTTGAGCAGAGGGTTGGACTAGAAGACCTCCAAGGACCCTTCCAACTCTGTTACTCTGTTTAAAAAATTCTATATGTAGAAGAAACAACCAAGGGTACATTTAGACTTGAAGCTAAAAACAGCTTGGCTTTTCAGCAGTGCAAGTAACTGCTGAATGCAGTGGTAAAATAAACCATTTTCTTTGCTTAGGATTCTCCCTCATAATTCCTTTAACCCCGTATGTCTGAAGCTGCAGTCAATAACTGAGACCTGTTCCAGAATCCATAGTTGAAGTCCACACATCTTAAAGTTGCCAAGTTTTTTTTTTAAAAAAAAAACTTGTTATATAGGTAGTTCTCAACTTACAACCATTCATTTTGTGGCAAGAAAGATTGTAAAATGGGGCAACAACTCACTTAAAAACTGTCTTGCTTAGCAGTGGAAATGTTGGGCTCAATTGTGGTCACAACTGGAGACTACTTGTACAGATGAGAAGGAAAGACTAGCCTATATTGGACTTAATGGCTCAACTGATGATTTGAACCTTGATCTGCCTGCTTAGTTGGAAATATTTTAATGGTATACCATGCTGACGATTTTTCAGGGGTTCTTTTAAGACATACGGGCTTCTCCTGCCTTTTTTTTTTCACCCAACCATCTGTTGAGGTGGTTAAATGATGGAGTTCTAAGAATGTCCATGGCAAAGAGGAGGACTTTCTCTATAATAAATTATAATTCTAGTTTAGGCACTCTGGGCACTCCTGGGAGTTTAATCTTTCATAAAATGGCTACTCATTATCTATATTTTCTTACAAAGTTTATATTTGAAGCCCAGAGCCATAATTAGTTATAAAGATAATGATGGGCACCAAAGTTTCTTTGCAGCAAGCATGGTGCAAATTAGGAGAACGGTCTGTAAATTTCTGAAAGAGTCCCGGATACTAATTTGGATACTGCAAACTGAGAATCTTAGGTTTTTTCTGAAGGATCTAGTCTTGAACTTGTTGCCCTTCTAGACAAAGAGTACTTGAAGGAGAAGGAAAAGCTAGAAATGGACTTGACGGCCCTGCGCTTGACGAATGAGGAACAGCGAAGGCACATTGAGATCCTGGACCAGGCTTTGAACAATGCTCAAGCCAAAGTCATCAAACTAGAAGCAGAGGTGAGAGGTTAAGTTATCTCTCGAAAACAGACACTTGTTTTCTTTCCCTGGGATTGGTGTGGGTGGACAAATTCTCCTGTTGGTGCTAAGGATCATGGGGTTGGCTTCCAACCCAAACATCAGCATTAAAGGAGATATTTGGTCTTAGGACACAGCAACCCTTCTGTGTCATCTGGAATATTTTGACCGAAGAGTCCCAGATGCTTTAATCAAGCTTCTCAAGATCATTTCTCAAATTCCTTCATTATGTTGGTTGTCTTTTGGGTTGCCTTTTTCTGCATCTTTCTGAGTTTGTTTGTCTTGGTATACAGTAATTGGACAGTGCACAGTTTTTTAAGAATAGTCCCATTGGGCTTAGTCATATCTTCCCATCTGCTAGCATATGTTCTCAGCATTTATTTTTGTGGCTTGAGTAACCCAAAACATAAGAGAGGCCAGGCGTCTACAACCCAGAAAGTATGAAGAGCATCTGCTGGGTAATTTCCGAATCGTATTAAACAAATACAAAAATAACCCAGATCATACAACAAAAATCATTAAAACACATTAAGAACAATAACATCAATTAAAACCATAAAAAATCATCTGTGAGAGTCAAATCCAATTTACGAACAGTACCGTTAATAATACTGTGGAGTTTTTGGTGGGCTCTGAGCTTGGTTGTTTGCTTGCAGCCATTTTATTACCTTACTAGGTAACATCTTCACCCTTGTGAAGCAGCCAGCCAAGCTCAGAAAACACCAAGGACTCCACAGTTCAACCCCGAACTACATATATTGTCTTCTATTAGTGGTGCTAATCCTGTTTTATATATGTTCTGTGTCACATTAATAACTCCTTATAAAGAGTTTTAGCTATTGGTTTGATTCCCAACTTGCTAAGAAGTTGAAGTTTGTTCCACTAGAACTAGTTTCCTAGTCATATGAAAGTGGCTAGAGTTGTTTTAGACCAGTGGTTCTCAACCTGTGGGTCGGTATCCCATTTGGGGTCCAACGACCATTTCACGGGGGTCGCCAAACAATGCAGTCCGCCATTTTTCCCCCCTTTTCCTTAGCTGTGCTACTCCCTTTTATTCTATTGGCTTTTGAAAGCCAATAGAATAGACTCTCTTGAATAGGAATTGTCCAGGCTGTCTCTGCCCTGCTGAGCCCGCCAAAAGCCCCATTCTGCAAACGGTGCTGCACCAGTTGAGTAGTCCTCGACTTACGACCGGTTGAGTAATCCTCGACTTACGACCGGTTGGGGGGTCGCGGCATTAAAAAGGTTGAGAATCACTGTTTTAGACCCTCAAAGTAGACTAGGATTTCATACCATCATACATGGCCAAATAGATAAGACGCTTTACAATTAGAAAGGGAAATACCCTTATCTAGGTTTTCATTATTTCAGAAATTACATACAACATTCATTTTAATTCGCTTCCCAGCTGGAGCAGGAGATGAGAGGGAGCTTTCACAAAGATTAAGAGACTGAAGCTACAGTACACAAGCTGGAAAGGAGCACCGTACTTCCTCTCCCTTTTCATGAATATACACAGACTAAAGTTCAGACATGAATCTGTTGCTGTTGCTATTCCAGCAAAGCCATGGTTTATATGAGCCTCAGTGAATTGAAAATACTGAATGAACTATAAACAAACCATATTGGGATTTAGTATGGGATAAACCATTTCCAAGATCTCCAAGCTATTTTGAACCAAAAGCCAACTCTTTCTTTCTTTTTTCCTGCATACACATGCAGTCTCTGTTTTCAGCCCCATATATTTTTCCCAGTAAAATTTCTTTTCTGCTGCTCTCATTTCCCTGCTCTGGATTGTACTGACAGGTGGGTTGGCCAGAGATTTCTCTGTTTTGAAGAGAATAAAAGTTCTTAATCGTTGGAAGCATTTCATTAGAATTATTCCTCTTGGGGATATTGAGGTGAACTTCCTGTGTTGAATTGGAGGTCAGACAAAATAATTCCCTGAGTTTCTGTGATTCTGCCTCCAGCTACGGAAAAAGCAAGCGCACGTCGAGAAGGTAGAGAAGCTCCAGCAGGCCTTGACCCAACTTCAGGCAGCCTACGAGAAGCGAGAGCAGATGGAGCATCGATTACGCACCAGGCTGGAAAGAGAGTTGGAATCTCTGAGGCTGCAACAGGTGAGAAATTGAGGGTGAATCTTTGGTCTCCTGGAGTGATTTATGGAGCTGTCAGATCAAAGACTGCATGACCAGAACATAAAAGAGATATTAATTTCAATATTCTTACATTAAAAATAGCAAATAATTAAGGATGAGCCTCCATTTGAGCTGTGTGATACCAGACTGACATTGTAAACTGTAAACAGAGAGTGCAGTAAAACACTGTGGGGCGATATATAAGTCTAAGTGCTATTGCTAGTGCTAAGAGAGGATGGGGATGGTTTGTATTTCTGCTTGAAGCTAGCAGGTTGCCAGCTAACAAAAGTAATTGGTGGAATCAAACTGTGGTTAGAGATCCTGGCTAATAAAACGTGTTGTAAATGTAATTTGCTGGATTGCCCCTGGGTTTTCTAGAAATGAGGAGATGAGAGAGGACAGATTGCACATATCTTGTTTCTGAGTATGTGGTTGGAACCCATTGCTTGACGTTCCACTTGAATATAATTTGTTCTTTCTCTGAAAATGACTAGGATTGGTCTGCTTTGATAATAATTTGTATGCTGCCTGATTCCCAGGGGCTCTGGGAGATTAATCTGACTTGTCTTATCAGCTGAACCCAAATGGATAAAGCTGAAAGAACATTCAAACTACATTTTGACTTTGGCACCATTACCACACCTGATATATTTTAAATGGGTTGCCTTTTGCCTAGCATAAGTTGAATACAAACATGATTGTTCATAATTTTTTAAAGGCGAGGCATATAAAGGTGTTTCTGTTTCAGCTTTGAAAACTGCTTTGTAATAGTTATTATGTCATGTGAAGTGTACCTTGTAATGCATTAGTTGCATGATTTTTGTCCATGTCTAGAATTGTTCCATGAACTATCCTAGAACCTCAATAGGCTCCTGCTGCAATTTGGATGAGGCTGCATTTTTAATGTCCTGGGTAAAAGTTTGGAGACAAAGGGACATTGTAGTATGCAACATAGGGTGAGGAATGACTTCCAAGATTAATTTTCCCTTTAGAAAAATTGCATTGATAATATAATTTTTCATGAAACTGAGTCAAGACTAAGGTCACTGAAAGCAATGAAATATGACTTTATTGCCATATTTTAAGTGATATAAGGAGACCATGTATGTTTTCTCTGGAGTAAACAATAACAAGCATCTTCTTTTCGGAGCTGTAGAACCAATTATTTAAAAAAAAATTGGGTTTTTCCTTTGCTGGATGTAACCAATGACTAGATAGTCATCTGTCAGGAGTGCTTTAATTTAATTTAATTTCTGCATTGATTGAAAATTGGGATCATTGGCCAAAATGGATTCTTCTAACTTTATGATTCTATAATAAGCTATTGAATTCAATGGGATATACTTCAGAGCAGATATTACCTGATGACACTCCTGGTCACGGCTACGTTTGGTGGGACGAGGGCCAGAGATCAAATTTATTCATTATTTCCACTTTTACACTGCCCATTGCTACACATCTCTATATTCCCTGTATAAGAGCATAACACTTAAAATAAAATTCCAGTGCCATTCCAGAAGAAAAAAACAACCCCACAGTTTCCAGTATATATCCCAAACATTTGAATCTGGTGCCTGTGGAATCAGCCAGATTTTCAGTGCTTTCTTGAAGGCCTGCAAGATCAAGGCTGTTCAGACCTTGGGGGCAGGGGGGAACTGCTGTTCCAGAGACTAGGTACAGCAACAGAGAAAGTATACTTCCTGGGTTGACAGGAAGGTGACATTGTTTAATTAAGGGACCTGAAGCATGCCAACCTTGCTAGAACATGGCCAGGCATACCGATAACCACTTGCACTGCTGCATTCCAGACCAGTTATAGCTTCAGAGTGATCTTCAAGATTCACTTTCAATCAATCAATCAAATCATTAATGTTTTACCAAGAGAGTAAAGTTTTGCTTAAGTCCACAGGCATGATGACTCAGATACAACTCGTTTCCAGTAAGGCCTCCTGATTCCAGAAAGGGCACAGTTAGGGCACCAGACAAATCTGTGTAAAGGTGTTTCTAATCCCAGCTGCTACTTGATTCTGAAGTTTAAATAAATTAATAAATCTCTAGCTTGTATCCTAGTTCTGTCTTGGGAAGCACCTTCCCATCCAGTCATTGGTATGTCCCTGGAACTGGATGGTCCATGTTCTTACACCCACTTGGTCTCACCAGAGTTGAGCTTCGACCTGTTTCTCTTCAGATTCCCATAGGCTCCAAGTATAGCAGCAATCTTTTGTCTTCGTCACTTGGTTGGTTCAGGGTCAAGGTCAGCTGGACTGAGGAGGTAGAGTTGGCCATGTTCTGTCAAATGCTATGACTATCTTGAGATCTGGAAAGACGATGCAATAATGGAAATCTTTCCCGTAGGAAGCCAATATTGAGACTGCTGTTGAAGTACTATTTATGTACTTTGGCGGGCTTCGTTCCAAAAACCAGAAATACTTTCCCGCAGGCTGTTTTTCAGGTTATATCTAATTCTTTTCCTTGTATAATTGACTGGAAAACTGCCTTTATAATTCAGTGAAGTAGACTCAGTGAAAAAATACCTACTGTAAGTGTGCCAGAATTGTAAGGAATTCTAAGGGGCATTGTATGGGGGGAAAAGTCATTGTGAGCATAAACCAGACATATCAAACACAAGGCCCAGGGGCCAGATGCGGCCCGCGAAGTGGTTTCATGTGGCCCGCGAAGCCATCCTGGAAACAGTGAGGGAACAGCCCCCGCTGCCTTGGCCCTGGCCCAGGTCGGTCGGGAGCCAATGTACAATTTTGTGGTGGCCATCTATGCTGAAAGGCATTCAGTCCTAGCTCGATAAGGCCATCCAGAAACAGTGAGGAACCAGCCCCTGCCACGTTGGCCCCACCCCCTGGGTGCATGCTGGGGAGGTGTCACCTTTGTGAGGAATGAAGAAATGCACCATGCCTTGGCGCTTGCCCTGGTCCCACCCCCTTCTGCCAGAGACCCTCAGATCTTTGCCACTCCTGCCCAGACTCCCACAGGCACCCTTGATGCGAACAACGTAGAGCTGGCCATGCCCACCAGTAAGCCACATCCACTACATCCATGCCCACCCAGTAGGCCGCACCCACCCTGGCCACACTCACCTGCCCCCCCCCAAGGGCAACCACAATGCTGATGCGGCCCTCAATGAAATTGAGTTTGACACCCCTGGCATAAATGGTCTGTCTTGCATATCTTTTAATTTTCTGACTGTGTTGGCCCACTGGTGCATATACTGATTAATTTCTAAGGGCAGAGTTCCTCAACCTTGCCAGCTTGAAGAGATACGGATTTCAACTCCCAGACCAGATGGATTTGTGAGCTACTTGCCTGTTAAATGTATACTAAAATGGTTTAAGAGCATCTTCCTTTATCTCAGAAACAAGGGAACTACCAAGCAGCCCCTGTACCTGAGTATAACGTCCCGGCCTTAATGGAATTAGTGCGGGAGAAGGACGAGAGGATTCTGGCTTTAGAAGCTGACATGACCAAGTGGGAGCAGAAGTACCTCGAAGAGAGCACAATCCGGCACTTTGCCATGAGTGCTGCAGCTGCAACAGAAAAGTAGGATTTATTGACTTTTTAAAATGTATTTATTTATTAACCAAAATTTATAGAGATGGCTGAATGATAGGCTTTTCAGTGTTGGGTGAAAGTCAAGAGCTTTTGAGATCTTTTTAAAGCTCACCATAGACCTCTTGTGAGATAGTGAGAGATTTGGTTGTCTCATGTGATTATGGAGATTTGTAAGTGCACATATATTTCCTTCCTTCCTTCCTTCCTTCCTTCCTTCCTTCCTTCCTTCCTTCCTTCCTTCCTTCCTTCCTTCCTTCCTTCCTTCCTATTTCTAACCACCCATCTCCTTCACACTCTTTGGTAGTTAGTGGAGGCCATTAGGCTGTCATGACACACCTGGGCACTGCATTCCCATCCCAGGATGCCAATGGTAGAGGAGGTCCTAACCCTTAATGAGTAAGTACCCCACTGAGCACCCAGAGGCAACTAGGCGTCACCCTTGGTCTCTTTGGCAAAAGAACCACACAGAAGAAGTATGAAAGACATTCCATTTTGAGAGATAAGAAAGCTTCCCCGACTAGAAAAGCAGATAATTGGATCGATGAAAGGAAGGTTCTTGTATTTTGATCAAGTCAGATAAAAGCTTTTTGGGTTTTTTCTCTTTTGCCAGAGATACTTTGGCCACCAACCACTCCCGCAGTGGCAGCTACAGCGAGAGCTCCCTGGAGGTCCGCATATGGCAGGAAGAAGAGGCGAAGATGCAAAACAACCAGAAGTGTCAGGACATGGAATACACGTAAGGAACAGCTGTGAAATAGCTGCTATGGGATTTGAATGACGCTTTGCAGTGCTGAGGTTCCCTGCAGTGCTTAATAAGAATATTCAGCTTTTGGAATACAAGGCCCTCAACCACTTGGGAACCAGATCCTGAATATGCTACATTCATGGTAGAAAACTGATTGGTTGCCAAGGGTTAGAAAAGGTCCTCTGTCTATACTTTGACTAAGAGTCCTCTTTTGGTTACAAGGCTTCTTTAATGAATGCTCTCTACCTGGAAGATCCTAAAGCATCTTCTCTTACATTTGGGGAGCACCAAGTGAAGACCCATCTCTTCATTCGTGCCTTTCTTGTAGTAATGCTGTAGAACAGGGGTCTTCAAACTTGGCCCTTTTATGACTTGTGGACTTCAACTCCCAGAATTCCTCAGCCAGGCACGCGTGCCTGGCTGAGGAATTCTGGGAGTTGAAGTCCACAAGTCATAAAAGGGCCAAGTTTGAAGACCCCTGCTGTAGATAGAAGAATGATTCTGTTCAGCTTTCTTTTCCACCCTGTGCATATTTTTTTCCACACAGTTTCCTTTAGTAATAGTAATAGTAGTAAAGTTGGAAGGGACCTTGGAGGTCATCTAGTCCAACCCCCTGCTCAGGCAGGAAACCCTACACCATTTCGGACAAATGGCTGTCCAGTCTCTTCTTAAAAACTTCCAGTGTTGGAGCATTTACTGCTTCTGGAGGCAGGCTGTTCCACTGATTAATTGTTCTCACTGTCAGGAAGTTTCTCCTTAGTTCTAGGTTGCTTCTCTCCTTGATTAGTTTCCACCCGTTGCTTCTTGTCCTGCCTTCAGGTGCTTTGGAAAATAGCTTAATTCCCTCTTCTTTATGGCAGCCCCTGAGATATTGGAATACTGCTATCATGTCCCCCCTTGTCCTTCTCTTCGTTAAACTAGACATACCCAATTCTAGCAACCGTTCCTTATATGTTTTAGCCTCCAGTCCCCTAATCATCTTTGTTGCTCTTCTCTGTACTCTTTCTAGAGTCTCAACATCTTTTTTACATCGTGGTGACCAAAACTGGATGCAGTATTCCAAGTGTGGCCTTACCAAGGCATTGAAGAGTGGTATTAATACTTCACGTGATCTTGATTCTATCCCTCTGTTAATGCAGCCTAGCACTGTGTTGGCCTTTTTGGCAGCTGCAGCACACTGCTGGCTCATATTTAGTGATTGTCTACTAGGACTCCGAGGTCCCTCTCACAGTTACTACTATTGAGCATGGTGCCACCTATGCTGTACTTGTGCATTTGGTTTTTCTTGCCTAAATGTAGAACCTTGCTTTTTTCACCATTGAATTTCATTTTGTTAGTTAGTGCCCAGTGTTCAAGTCTGTCCAGATCCTTCTGTATCTGAAGCCTGTCTTCTGGAGTGTTGGCTATTCCTGCCAGCTTGGTGTCATCTGCAAATTTGATGAGTTCCCCATCTATCCCTTCATCCAAATCGTTGGTGTATTTCAATCATTTCTTTTTTCAATATTTTATTAAAGTTTATTATAAGATGAAAATACAAAAAGAAGCAAACGTTAGAATGCTAAGAAGAAGAAAAAGGGTGCAAAGAGAAAGAAAGGGAAAAAAATAGGTATTTCCAACTTTTTCAGTGCAGTAGAATACAAAAAAAATAAAGAGTGAGAGAGAGTAACTTCAACCTTTTGTTTTACATTTCTAAACATTTGAAGCCATTTCTATTGTAACAAAATTATCCTATTCATCAAAACCAAAAATCTAAAGTTTTATTTTTTTTATTTTGAGCAAAAAGTCCAGAAGTGGTTTCCAAGTAGAAAAAAAAGACTAGATAAACTCTTCTCTTTAATTAAAACAGTCAATTTTGCCATATCTGCCAATTCCATCAACTTTACCATCCATTCTTCCATATTTTAATCATTTCTGAATGTTTTGATATACTGGTTGGCAATGATATATTAAATACATGATGCCTACATATCTCAGGCCATAAAATTAATATTGCATCAGGAACAGAGTGTATTGGAACATTGTATTCATCTGTTTCGCACCTTCTTCCATGTACACAAACCAAGGATGTGCTTACATGACAGTGTCTCCAACTAGCCAACCATATTTTAGACTCACGACCCTGTGGTTGTTTCATGGTTTCATGTGTTGTGTGAATTGAGAAATGTCAATTAATAATATAAACCACTGTGCATTTCACAGTAGATGCTGCTATGTTATCCATGCAATAAGAGGCAGGTTTGATGGGGAAATCTATTCTGTAGCAAATAGCATCTGTTGTGATGCAAATTTTAGAAAATTTTGGGAGATTCTGTGGTCATGTTTAGGATTACCCTCTTAATGATGACTGCAAGGGAAGGGAGCAGACCAGTCTGTCCATCTTTGCTCTTCTTCGCATGAAAGAGCTCTCAATGTCAGCCATTCAAGATAAGTCAGATCAGGAAACAGATACCACAAGAACTACTGGAGGTATATTTTATTGTTATAGGAAATAACAGAATGTTCAAAGTTTCTCTCTTATACTAAAGATAATCAAGAAGTGGCAATCCTGAGTTTCTCATCCTCTCCTGTCTTTCTGGTTCATGCTTTCAGTAACACTTGTTTTTCAAGGTTATCTGAGTACTCCTGTACAAGGGGACAGCCCCTTGATAGGATGGTACCAATCAAATGTCTTCTATACAGAAAATATTTTATCCGTGCTGAATACATTGCAGACTGGTTGAGTTGCACAGTCACAATCGCACAGGGGATTAAGCAACTCCAGCTTGGTTATCTTTGCAACCATGCACAAATGTGGAAGTGGTGTGTTTGTGTGCTTTTAACCAATACTATGGGTTAAATCCGCTAAATTGATCGTGGCAGGATTAAAGGTAACCCTAACTGGGATCAGAAGGATACAACATTTGAATCTAGAGTGAGAAAAGTGTTTTGGTCCAAATACCTACCCAGTTCTAGCTGGGCCAAGTGATCTCTTTAAGTCTTCAATAATACTATTACCTCTGCGTTTACGAGTGTAATAAATTACTACTATTACCAGAATAAAGAATCTGTATGCAAAAATCATCGAGAAAGATGCCATGATCAAGGTCCTTCAGCAGCGATCCAGGAAAGACGCCAGCAAAGGAGATTCAGCAAGTTTGCGGCCCGCTCACTCGGTACCATCCATAGCTGCGGCTACGGGCACACACTCCCATCAGACCTCCCTGAACCACACCCAGGGCGTTGAGGAGAAGAAAGAAGAAAAGTCTTGGAAAGAAAGCATTGGTGAGCTTCAGTTCATATGTGATACGAAGCCACAATTGTTGAATAAGCCAGTTTTGTTCAGACAATATGCTGACTGGAGTGTTCTGGGTGTGAAGTCCATATATCTTAAAGTGGCTGAGCTTGGGGAACACTGTCTTAAAGGAAGATAAATGTTGTATTTCACCCATATAATATTGCTCCATGCACATTTGGGATGGCTTGCTGTTTTTCCCAGTTCTGTCTTATGTTTTGATGAAAACTTTTCTTGATTTATTTAGTCAACGGTTTTATGAAGTCTTACTTTTAAGAAATTTGGTAAACTATTTTAAAGATCAATCAGTGGTAAGCATGGCAATAAAGTGATATTGAAATAGGATATTTTATTTGCCAGATATCCTGCTTCAATATTGTGTGGTGGCCAGAGATTTACTGCATTGCTATTGGTTCATACTTTCAGCAAAGTAATATACAAAGTTATGAAGGTTTAAATGGCATAACCAGATGCACCCCACTGACAGTTGTAAGTAAAGTATGGTTTGGGGTCACACAACATGCTAAATCGGGTGGGCAACTATGGCAACTTTACAACTTGTTGGATTCAACTCCCAGAATGGAGTCATAGTTGGCTTAGGAATTCTGGGAGCTGAAGTCCACAGGTCATACACGGTATTTTTGAACAAATAATCCAAATTATGTACCAATAGAAAGTAATATTTGTATCTCAGGATTGAACTGTGGAGTCCTTGCTGTTCTCTGAGCTTCGATGTTTTCTTGCCAAACTTTCTTTACCCAACTAGGTAACATCTTCAGTGATAGACAATCCTAGCACTGAAAATGTTATCTAATTGGGTAATGAAACATCTGCAAGAAAACAACCAAGCTCAGAGAACACCAAGGGCTCCACGTCTTATTATGGCTTAACACAATGGCCTTTTTCACACAATATGCTAAGACGATAGCATAGTCTACAAAGCACATGTCCCAAATTTATTTAGATTTTGGACTCTGTTGCCTGCATCCTTCTTTAGGCCTCAGGTCTCTTTATATCTGGACTAACTCTTTGGAACTTATTTTCAGCTTTCCCTACAAAGCTAGAGTTTTCCCCTAGGGTTTTACTTACTTCTGCCATATGGGCAGTTTTCCCTTCTTCATAAATTGCTGCTGGAAGCATTCCACTAGCTTTGTTCCCAGAGCAGCCAAAAAGTTTGTGAACATTCAGCCCTGTCACATCATTTCAGCCAGTTTGCATCACTGCCATGAGTATAATGTGGTTGGAAAAAAAATGACCTGGCTCCTTTCCAGCCATTGCTTTTAGAAGGAGCCAGCAAGTTTCAGAAACATCAGCATATTTAACTGGGATTGGTTGTGAGAAATATATTTTAACAAAGACAATAATGGATGATGGGCAATATATATGCTACTTACTGTATTTGTTTAGCATTGTTTACAGGAATTTGAGGTTAAAAACATTGAGAAGTGTGATTATTAGTAATTATCAAGTGTGCAGGTTAGTGCTCTCAGAAAACTCCCATTTTGTTCCTTCTTCAAGTTAGAATAACCAGCAGAGTGTCATCTATAGGAAGCTTAACAATATATTTCTGCCCTGGCTTACCACTCCAGTAAAAAGCCAAGATCAGGAAGCCAACTAAAATCCAAAGCTTCTAATTCAAGTTTGCGAGAGTAGAGGCAAGCCAGGATTCCAGGTTTAGTCAGTTAAGTTTCTATGGCAGACTAGATCTTGGGTTCTGTAGTCACTCTTGTTTGTAATATTGCTTATTGTTGGTCAGACTCCCAGGCATATTTAGCTTACAGTTTTGTGTACTTGCAACCATCCTGCATAGAATGTAGCTTTCCTGCATTAGATGTATAAAATTTAGTCTGTATGCTCTTTGAGGAAGCCATGGTAGAAATATAATGAAAAATATCTTGGTGTCATGTTGTTATTTTCTTGAAGGTTTGCTGTTAGGGAAAGACATCTCAGAACAGTCATCCGTCCCTTCGTTGACCCTTCCAACTCCATCTTTATCCTCAACAATGACTTCCTGGCCGGTCACCATCTGCCATGCTAAAATGGGCAGCAAAGTCAACAGCACTCAGACAGACAAAGGCACGGAGCTTTTCTGGCCCACTGCAGCTTCTTTTCCGGGTAGAGGAAAACTGAGTCACTCTTCTGGCAGCAGTCCGGCCCTGAGGCACATCGCAGGCAAAAATGCTGGGGAAAGACCAGGTGAGCAGTTCCAATTGCATTGATCCCTGAGAACGTGACTGGCAGGATTTGTAGAGTTCCGAGTTTTGAAAATTTGCTCCTGGGAAAAGCAAAATGCAAGTAGTGCTCGATTTATAACTGTAATTATAGTTGTAAGTAATTATACAAGAGTCATGGTGGCACAGTGGTGAGAACTCAGTATTGCAGGCTAATTCTGCCGACTGCCAGCAGTTCGATCCTGACCAGCTCAAGGTTGATTCAGCCTTCTGTCCTTCTGAGATTGGTAAAATGAGGACCCAGATTGTTGGGGGCAATACGCTGACTCGGTAAACCACTTAGAGAAGGCTGTAAAGCACTGTGAACTGGTATAAAAGTCTAAGTTCTATTGCCATTGCTGTTGTAAGTCATGCCAATCATTCAGTGAGTCATCACATGACCAATCTGATTTTATGACTGTTTTTGTGGCAGTCATTAGCAAATTACCGTGGAGATTAAGTAAATCCACCCTCGGTAAGCAAACCTATTGTTCGCAATAGCCATTTTTTATTTTTTGGGGGCCAGAAAGCGATAGTAAATGCAGTTTCCTAATCGCGGTCATGTGACTGTGGAACATTGCAAACAGTTATAAATGCAAGCTGGTTGCCGAGCAGCGAAAATACAAATGTGATGAGGGGCATGCTAGCTGTTGGAAGTTCAAATCCGTGTCGTAAGCACCTTTTGGGGGGTCTGTTGTAAATTTGAAAGGTTGCTAAGTGACCATCCATAAATTTAGGACTGCCTGTAAAGTAAAATTCAGAAATCATCCATTTTCTACTCACTGATGCTTTCCATCTTGGAAAACTCTCAGCTTTTACTTAGCTGATTAATCTCTTACTGACCTGTAGGAGTTAAAGGGGTTCTGTGTTTCTTTAATTTGCTTCCCTGTGGCCCCTCTTAGGAACGTTTCTTCTATTCCTTTACACATTTTTTTTGAATGGAAGCCGCTTGTACCCAAGAGCTTTACATCCAGCAGGTTTAAGGCACATTTTATTTGGCAATGCCTAAGGCTGCCATTGCCCGAAAGAATGGTTTTAAAACCGGATAGCAAAAAACAGTGCTTTTTTTCTTAAAAAAAAAAAAAAAGATGCCAGAACTCACACACGTCATACAACCCCTTGCCTACCTACAAGGTTCCATCTAAAAAAGGTGCCGGAACTCCGTTCTAGGCGTTCTATGAGAAAAAAAGCTGTGGCAAAAACAGATACCAGCCTGGAAAGAATGTCATGTGAATTATGTGTGAGAAGTGTCCCAAAGCAGGGAGGAAAAAAAAATCATTTCTGTAGATCAGCTTCTATACTAAACACGGGTAATTTGGCCCTAAAACCTGACCCATTCTCTACATTTTTCTCCCCCTAGAAAACTCTTCCAGCTGTGGGAAACTCCTGGACAGCAGCAAAAGCAGAGTTAGCAATCTGCTTCATAAGCCTGAATTTCCAGATCCAGATATGATGGAAGTCCTTATTTGAAGCCGTTGGAGCTTTTGCTGCTTTGGGTAAAAGCACCTCGTCACCCTGGAGAAGAGGGGGTTGTTGTTTTCATTGCTGTGCTTGAGTTAAAAACTCTGAAGGAGAACCACAAAGTTGGACCAAGAAAGTTCGAACCTAGAAGAAAACTCCAGGTGGATCTGAGAGTTGAGGAAGACAGAGGACTCAGAACGTTGGAGATGGAACATTTGGGATGTCTGCTATGTACAGTCAAACATGATGTGGATTTGGGGGGGGGCGGATGGCAAGATGTTATAGGAATAAGAGGACGTTTCTATGGAGGATGTGTTTGATGTGCCAGGAACTGTTCTCTTACCACCTAAGTAGTGATATCATTGGGTGGTATGTTGCCCACGTGGAATTTTTTTGAGTTGTATTTGCAATTCTTGGGCGAGAGAGCAGGACTTCCAAATATTATTGTTTTAGCTGCTACCTTCTTCCTGCTTTTCCTCTTTGATTCCCCCACCATCTGGGTTTGCTTCTACTGTATGTCAAACATGCCAGCGTAGATCTCTGGTAGAACCAAATTTAGACAGGTTAATCTTAAATTGTTTCCGTGCTCTCTGTAGTTGTCTCTGTCTACAGTGGGTCCCTGAATGCTGTTGACCATGGAGGAAAATGAGTTGACATCCAGGTGCTCAATACATGAGAGCCATGATGTGCTGGTCTAATTCCATAAGATCATCTGCATTACGAAACTAAGCAATCAGTGAGCAAAACAACCAAATGATCACCCGCTCCTTCAAATTTAATTTATTCTGGCTGTGTCAGATCCCAGCTCATTTAGGCCTAAAGTTAATAATCCCAGAAGCATTGAATGGGATTTCTACCCTGGATTCATAGCAAGGATGCACCCACAGCAAAATTCCCAAAGGGGACCGGTCTCTGTCCAGAGGTTATGCATCTGAACAGTCATGTGTGAAGATTGTGCCTCTTTGGATCAGCTTTGCTGACTTGCCAGTAGATCTGTTTATGACGCTGCTGCCTAGCTAAGATATCGTTGAGCCTCTGCTGTAAGCTGGATTGTCGAAAGAGCCCTAATATAATATAGGAAGTAGTGAACACGGTGGTCCCTTTTGGATGGGGCCAAATGTGCAGTTGTTTTTGTATTCTCCTCTGTTGTGTAGTTTAGTGCTTGTTAGTTGTACTCTTTCTGACGAAAAGTGTGTACATTAGTAAGAGTCCTTAGTCCATGTAGCAATGTTCTGGTTTTGCTCTGACTCATAAATTTGCCTCTTCATTGGATGTTAGGTGAAAAAAAAGTCTCCCAAGGCTTGTAGTAAATGCTACTTCCCGGAGTATCTGTAGATAGCAAGGTCATGCAAACCTCTTTTCCTTCATTCCCTTCCTCTATAGACCAGGAGACAGTCTTAACTGCCTCTTGTTACAGGCACGTTTATCCAGGACAGGGAGCTCCTTGTTCTCTGTGGCAAAAAGCTCAAAATGCAGCACTCTTATGAGTCCAAGTTATGTTTTATCCAAAGCATAAATAGCTGGTCTCAAATTCTGACTGTGGTCTTATTCAGATTTCTCTCCATGGACTATAAGGCAAAGATGTACACCAGGACTATACATAGCGTTGCTTACTCAGTGCTGTTTCTGAGGTGCGAAACATGGCAGTCCAGAGGGGAATTAGCCTAAAAGTTGCTGCTTTATATTATATTATATGTATGTATCTACATTTAGACATACATACCTTGCCACATTTCATTAAAGACCAGGCCTTCTATTAATACCTTTTGAACAGTACATTTACATCTAAGATTCCACTTGCACACAAAGGGCGAATTGTTACCATTCTTTTTGTGCAAACCGCAGGCGGCTTTCCCAAGCCAAAAGAATCAGGACATTAAAATCTTGTTAATCTGGCTGCATGCAAAAAATAATGTCACTGTAGATTTTTAGTACCGAAATATGTGGCCCAGGAAGACCCCCCCGAGTCTAAGCAAAGTAGGCGGGGTCAAAACCTTGGGGTCATTTTTGCATTGGGAGGACAGGTTAGCTAGATTTTATAGGCAAGTTGCAAACATCTAATATCCCTGCCCACGTTTCCCTTAACCAACTTGGTGAGGTCATCAAGCTGATGGAAGTTCACCCCCATTCCAGCCCATCCTATTAGAGCATAATTTATCTACAGTATTGCATTTGTATAGTAGCTGCTATACTTGTAAACCAGTGTTCTCTAGCTTGCTCATACCTGATCTATGTGCTGCTGCAATGTTATCCTGCCTGACATTTATAGCGTTATATAGTTATATTCCAGGCAAATGGATTGTAAGATAATGTCAATCTCCCCTGTTGTGTTTCTGTTGTGCAGATTGGCTACTGCAGAGCATTGTACAGCTTGAATGTGTTTGTATAGATATATAGCGTCTCATCTTCCATAACAAATATGGGTGACTCTGGCCAGCCAAAGAATTTTCTCCTGTTTTCTGCTGCTTACATTTGTGCCTTAATATTGTATATAATAAATGTATACAACTACAGTTTCCAAATCATTTCTTTGATGCAAACTACAACATCACCCTAGGACACCCTAGTACATCACAAAGATTGGCAGTATAGTGCTTGTGGAAAGCATCATGTTCTAAAGCATGCCAAACCATAAATCTTGGTTAGCATATTATAATTGTGTCGATATAATGTGCTCTGCTCAAAGTGGACTTTAATGGCCCACTCTGGAGCACATTTTATGATAGAAGAATTCCCAGAACTTGCTGAACCACAAACTACCCAATCATGAATTATCCAAATTTAGAATAAAGCTTGAGTTTGTGGATAGGAACAGATCAAGTGGTTACTTTGTTAACCAACTACCTCCTTGCTCAACAACATATAACTAGTAAGAGAATTCACTAAGAATGTGGAATCCTTGGTGCTCTCTAAGCTTCGTATTTTTTTCTTGCAGATGTTGCATTACCCAACCAGGTGACAGGACGATGTTCTGCAGCTGGGTAACGAAACATCTGCAAGGAAAAAAGCCAAGCTCAGAGCATCAAGGACTCTATGCCTCAAACCTGAGTTATATAAATTTTCTTCTATTGTGACTAAGAATAGTTTGCAGAGTTGTAGTTAGTGCATGTAGCTTTATGTATATTTGCTCATAGTAATTAAATCATCAGTAGTAAAAGAGCTTATATTAGCCTGGGTAAAGGACCTCTTTGATCAATAGAACTCCATCGCTTTACGATTTTGCAGCTTTAAGCTTGATTTGTACAGGCAATCTTAAAGATTTCTTGAAAGATGTCAAATATAGAACTGTTGAAAAGAGAGTTGTCCTTAGTAAAGTAGGACAGTCATACTTTCCTACTCTTTCACACAAACACAGTATGAGTTTTAAGTCTTTTAAGTGCATGTATATGTATATGAATGGGTACACCCATGTAACTGACTCGTGGGGAAAGTAGAAAGCATTTGATGGGACGCTAGTAGGAACCATGTGTTTGGAACAAACATGACTTAAGTCCAGGTTCATGCTCTCATCAACTAATTACTTTAGGTAAATAGAAATGCCAGATGTTGCTTGTTAAATTCATCTTTTGATTCCGAATCTTGTTCTTTTTACATGAAAAACAGTTGCTTCTCCCCAGCCCCTACCTCTCACCATATCACGTGTTGTGATATTTTTGCACACATAATGCAAATCTATGTAATTTATTAGTTGATGGTATGGTACACAGTAAGCAATGTCTTTTATCTGTACTAGAGATGCTCAAGTTCCAGTCTCCTTGGAATCCGGTGTATAATTTCAGACCTTTTAAGAATTTGAACTAATTATTATTTGGAAATTACAGATAGTCTTTGACATACGAGTGTAAAAGAGTCTGTTCGTTATGGTCATATATGTTCTGATGGTCATAAATTGGGTCAGTCACTGCCAGCTTTGGTTTTGTTTGTTTAAAATTAAGATGTACATACGTATACAGGTTATCCTCGACTTACAACCAAAACTGGGCCCGTTTCCATTGCTAAATGAGACACAAGTGAGTTTTGCCCCATTTTACGACCTTTCTTGCCATAGTTGTTATGTGAATCACTGCAGTTGTTAAATAAGTAACGCACTTCTTAAGTGAATCCGGCTTCCCCATTGACTTGGCTTATCAGAAGGTTGCAATGGGTGATCCCATGACCTCAGGACCTTGCAACTGTCATAAATTAAGTCAGTTGTCAAGCATCTGACTTTTGTGATTGCGGGCCTGCTGTAACAGTGGTGTGAAAAAAAAAATCATAAGTCACTTTTTTCAGTGCTGTCGTTAACGTCAAACCATCACTAAATGAATAGTCATAAGTTGAGGACTACCTGTGTATGTATTTAAAATCAGAGATGGCAGAGGAAATCATTGTGAGCTTTGAATTTTATTCTTGAGCACTGAAGATTTTTAATTAGAGCTTTGTAGTCTCCCACATCTGTTTTTTCAGTTTAATGAAATATGTGAGAAACTCCCAGGGGAAGTCCCTCTTTTGCAGTTTTAAAGGAATGTCCGTTTTACTGTCTTTGTGATAACAAAGGTTAGGATGGAAGCCGTCTCTGGGATTTACTATCCAGAGCCAAATGGCCATGAGAAAGTGGAGGCCTCCATTCCCAACAGAGAGGGACAACTATTTTTTAGTAACTGTTTTTGAGAAAATACTTCTGGAATTCCCCAAACTGGAGATCTGTGATAAATGGAGCCACTGCACCCGCCAAGACAGGGTCCATTTTTCTCATGGTTTAAAAATGTCCAACCTTGGCAACCTTAAGAGTTGCGGATTTCAACTCCCAGAATGCCCCAGTCAGCATGGCTGGCTGGAGAATTCTGAGAATTAAGGTCCACAAGTCTTAAACGTTGCCAAGGTTGGACACCCCTGCTGCTTTAAAGAAACTTATTAGTCTTCTTTCTCATAAATGTGACTGGTCACAAAATCTCTCTTCTTTCCTCCACATCTGTGTATGCAGCTTTTCATTGAGGGAAAAAAATCAACATAGCGCTTAGTGAACTTTAGTAAAATGGTCTCCATTCCTTGAACTGGGTTTCCTTGCATGAGGTTAGGGCAGGGATAGGCAACCTTGGCTCTTTTATGACTCGTGGACTTCAACTCCCAGAATTCCTGAGCCAACCATGCTGAGGGGAAAGGGAGAGGTTTCCAAGTTGAGCCATGCTGGCTCAGGAATTCTGGGAGTTGAAGTCCACGAGTCATAAAAGAGCCAAGGTGGCCTACCCCTGGGTTAGGGGAATTCCCAACTCCCAACAGATTGCAAGCAAAATAAGCTGCCATCGGGACATGGACCACGAAAGGTAAAGACTCCTTTGACTCAAGGTTGATTCCTGGTGATATAAAAATCCCCGTGTAGCTTTTTTGGACATAGTCTTCCAAGATTTTTTTTTTTTTAATTTCCTAAACTGGTCACAGTTCTGTGATGTCCTGGTGATCTTCCCTTGATTAACCATATTAGCCAATAATACATGATTTGTCTGATGCTCTGTAGTCTGCTAGGGTTCCATTTAGGGCTGGTTTAATGCTTGCAATTATTTTAACAGCAGTGCTGGTTTATGGAGGAACAAGCAGGAAAGTAGGTGAGAGGTGAGACATAAATCTAAGTAAGTATTTTCAGTTGAAAAATAAAACATCAGGGAGCCTGGTGATCATTAAGGACAATAAGTAAGAGTCTCGCTAGGTTCTGTTTGGGTACCTCACAAGAATGTAAGCTACCATACAGATAAGTAAATTGATATGTGCATCTTTATATTTGGAGTAACTGTGGTCATTATACCACCAGTTAGTTTTTAAATAGAAGAGAATATATAAAGCTCGGGATGGAACTGGAGTCCTTGATACTCTGGTTATTTGCTTGCAGACATGATGAACATGGTGTTAGCTGGGTAATGAAACAGCTGTAAGCAAACAACCAAGTTCAGAGGGCACCAAGGATTCCATAGTTATTTTTTAGTCATCTCTTTTTAAAGGAGTTGTACATGGAGACAAATATAATCAGTGAAAACAGCCTGAAATAACATCTTGATGAAATCCTGTTAGGGTGTGGGGAGGAAGTGGTATCAGCCCTTTATGGTAGACCAGACTTGAACCAGCCATGGTGGCGCAGTGGTTAGAATGCAGTATGGCAGGCAAACTGCCCACAGTCTGGAGTTCGATCCTGACCGGCTCAAGGTTGACTCAGCCTTCCATCCTTCCCAGATTGGTAAAACGAAGACCCAGATTGTTGGGAGCAATATGCTGATTCTGTAAACCTCTTAGAGACTGTAAAGCACTGTGAAGTGGTATATAATTCTAAGAGGTATTGCTAGTGCTAACACCAAAGTCATGAGTACTAAAACTACACTTATTATATAGCAGGGGTTCTCAACCTTGGCAACTTTAAGACTTGTGGACCAATTCCCAGAATTCCTCAGCCAGCTTTGCTGGCTGAGGAATTCTGGGAGTTGAAGTCCACAAGTCTTAAAGTTGCCAAGGTTGAGAACTCCTGCATTATAGGATTACAGTGAGAATCTTGCAAATTGAGTGTCTTCCCCTCTCCCTACCTTCATCCTAAAGAGAAGCAAGGAGAAGCAAGTGAGATATGCTTTCTCAACTTCCACTCCTGATTTGGGTTCAGATTTTTCCTATCTGATTATCTTGGCTCCAGCTCTTCCTCCAGGCTATATTCATAGCCCATGACACCAGGGCAGGGGAAGAAGGCTAAATCTGAATCTTCCTATCTTTAGCTAGCAAATCTATTCTGAACCAGACTAAAAGGCAGGCCCGTCACCAATTCTTTGACATAACGTTAAGCCAAGCAGTTCCCCATTTTCATTCAGAAACACAAGTGAAAATCCTCTTGTCTACTCTTCTCCCACCCAAGGGCATATCAGGAAAAGCAGCAAAACGACACCATCATTGTGGTAGACAGGAAACCTGCAAAGATAAGCTAGGTCTACAGCTAAGTGTAAAGCTGCATTAAGGGACTCTTGCAAGTCTGAAGATACAAGGCTCCCGCCTTCTCCTTGCCACCCAAGAAACTAGGGCGGGTCCCTTCTGAGCTTCTTGCTCCACCCTCTATCCAATTGCAGGACATGCTGTCTCTTATCTGACTGTTCCCTAGGCAGCCAGTCTTCACTCTGTCTCCCAATGTCTTTCCTACGTACCATTACAGCTGCTGGGTTCCTACCTCTCAGAATAGGGTATGATCCACCCGACACTGTCATTTTCCTTTTTTCAACCCCTGTCCTCTCCACCCCATCTTCCTTGTGATGGGGTTTTGGTGAAGTAGGGCCTAATTCTAAACTAGAGGCTGCCGGTGCTGAGGAGTAACGGCCAGGCTGCTTGTCCATGAAGGGTTTGCAGATGACACATTAGCCAGAACTAATAATGGATGCTTCCTGTCACAGAAGATAGAAGGACCACTGCTGAATCTAAAAACATACCCAAGCTTTCCCATTTGAGTGAGCGGGAGAGTACAAAATTTGCAGAGCAGGAGAGGGAGCTAATGTAGGTTTAACAAAGAAAACAG